GGTCTGTTTCCCTGGTCATGTGATAGTGCATAAAGCTGCTGTGAACATTGATGTACATATCTCAGCTTATGCCTCAGTTCTCATTTTCTCAGGTTATATTCCATGTAGTGGAAGGGCTGAGTCATATGGAATTCTATGTTCAGCTCTATGAGGAAGCACCAAACTGCCTTTCAGAATGGTTACACCATTTTACAGTCCCACCAACAATGTATAAGAGTTCTTTCCTCTCAACGTCTTCTCCAACATCTATTACTTGTTGTACTTTGTCACTGTTACTGAAGTGGGATGGTAACTCCTTGTGGTTTTGATATGCATCTCTCTTCTTACCTGTGATTTGGAGGATTTCTTTATATGTGTATTTACCATTTTTATATCTTTCTCTGTTAAAATTCTTTCCAAGTCTTTTGCCCATTTTGTAATTGGATTATCAGTCTTTTTCTTGTTGAGGCCCAGGGGAGTTCTGTAAATCTTTTGTAATAAGACTCTTGTCTCACCAAATGTTTTTTCCCAGTCTGTAGGCTTTCTTTTCACCCAGTTGGAAAAAAAATTTTTATTCACACATGGATTTAATCTTTAGTAGGTTCCATGCATCAATTTTATCCTCTTTAGATTGTGCATTTCTGATTGTATTTGGCAGTCTCTTTATACCTTGGACTAGTGCTTCTAAGCTTGATCCAAGTTTGTCTCTTATGAACATTATGGTTTTGGGTTTAACTTCCAGATCCCGAATAAGCAAAATACTTCTGAGAAACAAAAATGAGGTTGAAAGCATAGCATTCCCAGACCTCAAAATCTACTACACAACAGTGATAACCAAAACAGCATGGTACTGGTACAATGACAGGAATATGGACCAATGGAACAGGATTGAGAACCCATAAATAGACCCAACTCTGTGGCCAACTGATATTCAACAAGGAAATCAAAGCTATCAAATGAGGAAGTGGTAACCTCTTCAACAAATGATGCTGGGAAAACTGGACTTCTACTTGCAGAAAGCTGAAACTGAATCGACATCTCACACTATACACAAAAATAAACTCAAGGTGGATCAGAAAAAATAGATTTTAAAGGGATAGAGGGCATACACATCAATTTAAAGTCTAACATGTGTCTAATCCAAGCCATGGTATTTTCCATTGCTTCATATGCATTTGAATCTTGGACAGTGAGTAAGGAAGACCAAACAAACATCTACACCTTTGTATAATGATATTGATGTAGAATTGAATATACCATGTACTGAACAAACAAACTTGCTTTGGAAGTTTATTTGGATCTTTTAGGAGCAAGGATAGTGTAACTTTGTCTCACATTCTTTGGGCATATTGTCAGGAAGAGCCAGTAATTGGAAAAATACATCCTGCTGAGAAAGATAGAGGTTCTGTCAAAGACAAGGAGCTCTTTGTGGGGTGGCTTGATACGGTAACTCTAACGATGGACTGGAACGTGGTAGGAATCATGAAAGGGTGAGGTTCTAATCTGTTTTTCATAGGGCCACAGTGAGTCATAATCTACTCTGTCTCCTAACAACAATAGGGGTTTGCAGTGCTATTGTTGTAAATTGCCATCAAGTGGAATATAACTCATGACATTATAAAAAACCAAACTGAAACTTGTCTCATGCTGCCCAACCTTTATCATCTCCAAAACACTTGAATCCATTGTTAATGCCACTATGTCAATCCACCTCATTGAGGATTTCCTCCCTTACTCTGCCTGCCCGCCTTTCCCAGCATCATGTCCTTTTCCAAAGACTGAACCCCTCCTGACAACATGTCCAGAGTATGTAAGATAAAGCTTCGCTATCCTTGCCTCTAGGTACACCCTGGTTGTACTTCCTCAAAGACAGACTTGTTTATTCTTTGGGCAGTCCATAAGTACCTAATATTTTTTTCCAAGACCACAATTCAAAGGCATTATTTTTATTTTTCTGTATTCCTTTTTTGTTGTCCAACTTTCAAATGCATAGGAAGTAATTGAAAAGACCATGCCTTGGATAAGACATTCTTTAGTCTTTAACTGGACATGTTTGTTCTTTACTACTTTGGAGAGGACCTTGATAGCAGATTTTCCAAATTTAACACATCTTCTGATGTCTCAACTGCTTTTAGCATGAGTGTTGATTGTGGATCCAACTAAAATTACATTCTTGGCGATTTCAATTGTTTCTCTATAATGAAATTACATGCTTCTCCAGTGGTGCAACTTTTGTTTTATTGATGTTGAGACAGAACCACATTGAAGGCTTTGATCTTCTGTAACAAGTGTTTCAAATCATGTTCACTTTTTGCAAGCAAGGTTGTGCCATCTGTGTAACACCAGTTACTGATGAATTTTCCTCCAGTTCCTATGCCACATTCTTCTTCATATAGTCCATCTTTTTGAATAATTTTGCTCAGCATACAGTTGGAATAGATATTGAGAAAAGATACACCCTGATACATACCATTCCTAATATGAAGCCGTACAGCATTTCCTTGTTCTGTTTAGACGACAGCTTCTTGATCTATGTGTAGTTTTCACAAGAGCACTTCCAGGTGTTTTGAGAGTCTCATTCTTTTGAATGTTATCCATCATTTCTTATGATCCACTCAGTCAAATACTTTTAATAAAACAACTTTCTGGTATTCTCTGCTTTCAGCCAAGATCTATCTGACATCAGCAACCATATCCCTCCTGTCATAGCCTCTTCTGAATCCAGCTTGAATTTCCATCAGTACCATTGCCCCCTGTCTTTATAATGATTTCTTGCTTTCTTCATAGATGATATCCTTTTCCGTAATCTTCAGCATGATTTTGCTTGCACATGATTTTAATGACATTATTTGATAATACATTCTATTGGATAACTGTTTTGAAGAGCTTTTGTAAATTGTTTTACTGGGAAACATTTGGATATGCCCTCCCATCTCTCATCCCTCTCTGCAGAGAGAATGTTCATTCTAATCTCCCTAGGATGCTACCCCTCATACCCCTCCACCCCCATTTCTTAGTTTCATTGCTCTTGTTGACAGCTTCTTCAGGTCTGCTGCTGACTGGCTTCTCCTTGGAAAGCTGCTTTTTTTTTTCCAGACACTACTTGGAGCCTTTTCTAGATCTCTGGTTCCTCTTTGGGTGAAGAGTTTTTTCTCTTCTTAGGGAATGCTTGTGTTTATAGTTGTCTCTTCAAAATGATTATTAACCAACTCCTTGGAAAGAAATTTCTTTCTCTTGGGTTTAGGGAGAGAAAAGCTGGACTGATCTCTCATTCCGTTCTCCTGTAGAACCTCTTGAGGATTTTACCTCTTTTTGGGTTTCTCACTGTCTCCTCACATTCTTGATCCTTGGGAATATTGTTTTCTGAAGACATAAGTGTAGCTAGACATTTCTTTTACTTTTCAAGCACTCCTGTAATCTCAACAGCCACTTCTGCCTGAAACATGGCTTTTTTCATAACATTAAAATTTTTTCATGCAGTCTCTCCAGTCTCATAGAAGGATAATCACTCCTCAAACTACTTACTCCTGAAATTTCCCTCAAATACACTTGTAGGCACCTCAGAGAATCAGTCATTATGTGAGGCAATAGTATATTTACTTTCTCCTAATAGGGAGATGGGATCTTTATTCTTAGCAGTTGCTTGGCCAATGAAGGTGGAGTAGAAAATGAGTCCTTATTTAGGAGTATTTTGAATTTTCTTTTGATTTCAGGGCTCTAGAAGCTTGGTCTCTTTTCTTGGGCCCTGCAGATCACTGAGACACCAGAACTGACCATCACACCCATAGTAGATCCCTTATAGGTCTGATCTCTGGTCAGCCATCACTGTGATGGATCACCATTTTGAGAATGGGAATATATATGGATCTTTTCTCATCACTTTGTAAGGTAGCTGTCTCAATAGTGCAATTTTTGGTCTTTTATGACAGCGTCTTGGTCTTTTTTTTCCTCCCCCATCTTTGTAATGACCTTTTGCTTTCTTCATGGGTGATATCTTTAAACTCATTCCCCAACTCATCTTGCCTTCAATCACTGACATTCAGTGTTTCAAATTTGTTCTTGAGATAGTTTTTAGATTTAAGTGGGATAGACGTAAAGCCATATTTTCATTTTCATAGGCTTGTTTTAATTTTATTAAGTCTCAATTTGAGCTTGCACATGAGTGATTGATGATCTGTTCCACATTCAGCCCTTGACTTTGTTTTGACTCCTAATACTAAGCTTTTCCATTGACTCTTTCCACAGAAGAAATAAAGCTGATTCCTATGTTCTCTGTAGGTATGGTTTATATAAATAGTCATATAATTTATTTTTAAAATTCAGTGATTTGATCTACAAATTCATTTCTGTCGTCAAGTTTTTATCTTTAAACTACCAGTCCTTCTTCTTTGTTTCCAATGATTGTATTCCAGTCCCCGTTATTATTACTGTATCTTGATTGCATGTTCAAGGCAGTTCACAACCTCTGCATCAAGTACAACAGGAAACGAAGATAACAGATAAGGGTAACAATTCTTTAATGTTTAAAAAGAAATAATAAGGTAGGTCTGCAAACACTGAAGGAACAGGCAGAGTTGAAACATCACATAAGGAAATTGATGTCTAGTAGACTATAAGTACTTTAACTCAATGCCTGGAAGCCTTTTACTTTTGCCTTTTTTGTTTTCCCTTCCCACTCTGAAATTTTTGTTAATGAATGAATGCTCTACTTATTAATTTAGAAAAGGACAACCTGGGATGAACTGGAAAATTTGAGCTCTTGACAACTTGGTCTTCCAAGTTTATGTATGCATAATCTTTTTTTAAAAAAATATATTTTGTTTTCAACTAGTTGAAAGTTGAAGAATTCACTGATGAATCCATACACAATGTACTCTCTTCCTTAAGATGAAGTTGCCCAGTATATACGCATGATTTCACAAGCTATATAAGCATTTTTTAAAATCATGAAATGCTATTATTTCTAGAAATTTGTATAGATTATGTTTACAATTTCCTCTCCTTTTTTTTTTAATGTTAAGGTGACGACCCTTGTCAACACAAGCAATAAAGGCCCATCTGGCAAAAAGAAAGGAAGATCTAAAAAAGCCCATGTACTTGCTGCTTCTGTAGAACAAGCCACTCAGAACTTCCTGGAAAAGGGTGAGCAGATTGCTAAAGAGAGTCAAGATCTCAAAGAAGAATTAGTTGCTGCAGTGGAAGATGTGCGCAAACAAGGTAGGCAAAACTGTATTTTCAAGAGGGATTTATATTATTGTGCAAACAATAGATTCTTTTTCTCTATAGACAGTGAATATTAATTCAGAAGGAAATGGTTTTATTTCCTTTTTCTCTTTATGTGTTTATAATGTCATTGGCTGCTGGAATTAACTACATAGATAGAGGCTTCCTTCCCACCCCCCGTGGGAGCATCTCTGCTGCTACTTCAGGAAGCTTCAAATGGTTCTATTTTGGTATATGATAGCAGACACATGTCAAATTTAGGTTCAGCTGAGAAAACTCTGTACTTGCAGTCACTGAAACCTGAGACGTAAGACTGAAAGAAGGGGTAAAATATAAAATGTTTCGAGAAAATTACAGTTTCTGTGCATGATTCTCAAATTTATACTTTCCTCTAACAGTTTCCTCACAAATCTATCAGCATGTGCTATGTGGCTTTCCATCTGATCCCGTTCTATCATCTGTATCCCTGTCTATAACGTTGCATATGCAGCATCTTCAGTTACAAGTCTAGGCTGTGAAAATTCAGAAACAAGGTGCTGGTCTCCAATTTGTCCTCTCTCCTACATTATCTGTCTGAGTGAATCTTGTTCATACCTTTGCCATTTTATGTTATATAATCTTAAAATCAGTCTTCTTATTTATCTATATTTCTAAATAGAGTATATAATATTATTGCTTAGGTTTATCTGGCATAAAGTTCGTAGATTTAGCTCTCTAGAATGGACCATTTTACATCTCAACTATTCAAACACACCATGGGTTTAGGGTTGGTTTTTGTTGTTGTTGCTGTTATTGTTGCTGTTGTTTTTTCCCCTAGGATCTTTGCACATACCCTTTCAAATTGAAAGTTTAAAAATCCATGCAAGGGTATATAACAAAGAGGTAGAATCACAATTTTAGACTTGAAGATAATGTTGGTTTCCCACCTGCTTTACCTTATACAGTCAAGCATCAGGTGTATTGGTATTTGCTTCATAGGCAGTTTGGCTGCATGTATTAGAGAATGAAAAGACATTTGATGCAGAAGATTATAAGAATTTCGTTTCTCAGTTAACCTGAGTTTTTATGGGGAATTAGGGATTTACTGTGTCACTTGCATTTGTGTTGTGTGTGAAAATAAATAGAATTCATTTAAGTTTACTGCAAAAAAAAAAAAAAAGGAATGACTTATTCTTCACATTGCAGGTGGAAGAATGATGTTCTAGGGAAATTCCCCAGCACTCCTGTCATATATTTTCAAATTTCTCTTCCTTCTTACTTTTCATAGAATAATCAAATTTTTGTCAAATGGTTGGAATGATAACTTTTTTGAGGGCAGTACTTAAGTCAATGAAGATAGAGACCATGTCTCTTTGGTTCTTTCATTGATCCAGTACATTATAGTCATAAGACTTCAATAAGTATTTGTTCGCTGAAAGAATGAGTAAATTAATTAATGATATAACTTCTTTCTTATTATAGATTTTCCACTTTTTTCAGTTCACATTTGCGTAGTCAGTCCTCAAAAGTAACAACCCTCTTCTTTTGTGAACATTAGTCAATTTTCATGCTATTTATCATATTTTTTGCATGTATTCTTACAAAAGAAGTTTTTGTTTCTCCTACACTAATGTGTTATTCTAACTTAAAATTCTATTATAGTAATTTATTTCATTTATCGATTAAACTTTACCAAATGATGAGAATATATCTATGTATGTATATACCTATATAACTCTATCCCTATATATCTATTTATATCTATCTATCTCTATATCATCTATCTATCTATCTATCTATCTATCTATCTATCTAATCTATATATCTACATATGAATATATCTATGTATCGTTCTTGTGCAACCTTCTGTGTCCAGATTTTCAATATTAGTTTGAAAACTGGCGTCCTTTTGAATTAATGACAACCACTTGTTGTTTTTGTGAATGTTTGAAGCTGTATAAAAGATGCTTTGTTTAAGGTTGACTTGAGATATAATAACCTATATAAATTTGAAGATGAAAATTTTCTGTATTTTGAAAAAAATTATCTGTGAGCTTCTGTGAGTCATTCTCACAATCATTGTAGTTATCAGATCTACAGTATGTAGTATTTTCATTAATTCTTTAGGCCTCTTTTTGAGACCATATAACTTTTTTATGAGTTTTCCCATGTGACTTTCTCAGCAAACTTCTGTTTCCTTTCATATTTCTTTCCAAATTAGTTTTCTTAAATTATATGTAATGTAATACTTTATCTTGAAATAGTGTATTTATTTTTAAAATAAATTTTCTCATGGATTCTTAGAAGTAGAATTATTAGAGTTTTTTTTAATTATTGGGGACATTCTACTGAGGCAGAAATTATTAATTTTAATTTTGTTAATTTATATATTAATGTATATACATTATTTTTATGCATACCGATAAAAATGATACCATAGAGAATGAAATACAGAAAATATTTGGTTCTTTTTATACAGGTAGCATGTTGACATGAACTATAATAATATAATAGACTTTTAGACTTGATTGTTTAAATGTAAAACTCAGTACTTATACTTAAGCTATATAAAATTTGCGGTATCCAATATATGAAACTATGTTTTTAGATTTATGTAGGATTTTCCAGAGGATTTTAAGCTGAAAATTGTTAAATTAGCTTAATTTACAGTGTTTTATCTTCAAGTGGATTTGTTCAGTTTTCTCTATATTTTCTTCTGTATTTATTTAGAAAATACCTGTATCAAAATGGGTACTTTTAAAAAAAGTTTATGTGTGTGTGTGTACCATCAAATTGGATCTGACTAGTACAGGAGGAGATTGTCCCTCCATCTCCAGCAGAGCATCTGGTGGATTCGAACTGCTCACCTCTCGGATTGCATTGCAGCATCTTGCCAGTGGGACACCAGAGCTCACCCAAATGGGTACTTTTGAGTATATAATCTATTTACAACTCAATTGCATCATGTTACTTTTTTTTATGCATGATGTGAAACACAATGACCCTTTGCTGTGATACACAACATTTTAAATTTTTGTTGTGCTTTAGCTGAAAGTTTACAAAATGAATTCATTTTGCAAACAGTAGTTCTTAGTATCAATGATTCCATTACTCTGGTTGCAATTTCTCTAATGAATAAATTAGTACTCTCCTCTTTTGAATTTCTGTTTCCTTTTATCTGAGCTCCGAGTCCCTTCCTGCCTTCTCATCTTTAGTTTTAGACAGGTATTCCTTTTTTTGGTTTCATGTTAATTATTGTTGCCCTTAAACTGAAGTGTTGACAAAGTATCTTGACTGTATCAGATCTGCTTTGGAAAATGTAAAGCCAATATGCATCTTATAAATGAGGATGACAGGGCTTCATTTCATATACATTGAGAAGGCTATCAGGAGGTTCCACTCACTGGAGCAAAGAACAGTAGAGGTGAGAGTAATAGAAGAATATCCTTAGCAATATGGATTTATATGGTGGCTTCAACATTTAATAAAAACAAAACTGTGATTGTGGTGATATCTCACAACCCAGCAATGTTTTATTTTGTTATTCACAGCTAGGGTCATTATTAGAGATGGCTCAGAATGGTAGTTGATAATTCCAAGTACATTCCTTCTGGGTTTTATTATTTATATCGTTGTCTAAAATTTTACATAATGCCATCAGGTGTGTGTGTGTCATGTGCCATCAAGTTTGAATAAAGCCATAGCTTACCCTCCAGCAGGTTTTCAGAGACAGTTAATTGCCTGAGAGGAGAGATTGGCTATCTTTTCTCCCATGGAGCATCTGGTGGATTCAAACAACATGCCTTTGGGACTGTAGCATAGCTTCTTAACACTAGCCCACCAGAGCTCTCTGTTTTAAGTAAAAAAGGAGTTTTTGAGTCCAGAACAAAGGCTGCATAGTGGAGTGAGGGGAGGGATTGTAAAACAATGGAGGAACTATTCTTTTACTTTTCAAAGAGAAGAGTGTACTGGGGAGCAGGGGTGGGCAGGGAGAAAAGTGTAACAATGAATGAATGGAAATCCAAATGCTCTATAAATTTTCATTAAAAAGAATTAAAAATTTATTTAAAAAATTTTAAGAAAAGAAAGGAGTTTGTTGTTTTTGTTTTGTTTCATTTTTTAGGACAATGGTTTCTAAAGATTCCTTCCATCTTTTTCAGAGCAATAATTCAGGTATCTTTTCCCCCTATGAAGTTTGTGCTGTGCACTATAACCCTTCTAACTTGAGCCTTCTGCTACATATTGATCTTTGTCAGAGTTGGGCATATTGGTAGTTTACCAAATGACTAGTTTTTCTGATCTCAGGATAGAAGAAGCAGTGGTATGTTTGGATCATTAATACTAATAACTAAAGTTTTACTGCCTTTGACATTCTTTTTTTTTCTTTTTTTTTAAAAATAATCTCTGTAGTACCTACCAAAAGCTTATAATGCCCAATAGTTGTGAGAAGGGCTTTCCTTAACCTTCAAAACAATTCTTAGTCCTTTGTCTGATCACAAAGGTGATTTTTGTTTGTTTTTTTAATTTTAAATAACTTTTTTATTTTATACTGGTTTACTTTCAAAGTTCATAAACATTGTTCACACCATCTTTCCCATTTCCTTTACCCACCCTTCCTGCCACCCATCAAACTATGCAACCATATGATTAACCACTCCACCCCACCCTACCTACCCTAATCCTCACCCCTTTGCTCCTCTGATGGTATCTCATTGTGGTTTTGATTTGCCAGTGATTTTGAGCATTTTTTCATGTGTCTGTTGGCCAGAGGAATATCCTCTTCTGTGTAAAGTCTTTCCATGTTTTCTTACCCTCTCCTCCTTGGATCCACATACAAGTTCTACAATTATGGTTTTGTATCATATTTGTCCTTATGGGACTGGGTTACTTCACTTAGCATAATGTTCCAGTCCCTCCTAAGTTAAATAGTAATTTACAAAATCATTGCTCCCGCATGTTGTGTGGTATTCCATCATGTGAATGTGCCATAATTTCTCAATCCACTCCATTGTGGT